CACACAGCGTGTTCTGGTCTCCCTTGACCGCCATGACGAAGCCCTGGTAGTGGCCGAGCGTGCCTGTACCCGCGCCTTCATTGACCTACTTCTGGAGCGCCAGGCGGGCTCCGCTGGACTCTTTAACGGCACAACCATGGACCTCACTCCTATCTCCACCGAGCAGATCACCAGCACCGTGGCCGCACAGAACAGCTTCGTCCTCTGTTTCTCCATAGCTTCAGGCCATCTTTACAGCTGGCTGCTGACGCCAAAACAAGGTGACAATGTGCAACTTTTGGTGTTGTTATTGCTGTTGCTGTTGCTATTTTTGGGATTTTGTTGTTGTTGCTGTTGTTGCTTCTGTGGTTGTTGTTGTTGTTGTTGCTGCTGTTGTTGTGGTTGTTGTTGCTACTGTTGTTTTGTTGTTTTTGTTGTTGTTATGTGTGTGTGTTTAATGATGTGCTCAATTTATTTTTGATATCATATATTTTATCAATTGAAATTATTGGGATCAATTGCCGTTACCGTATTACATTGTCTGTTTTCTGCTCTCTCCCTGCTCTCTCTCTCTCTCTCTCTCTCTCTCTCTCTCTCTCTCTCTCTCTCTCTCTCTCTCTCTCGTAGTAACACCCCTAATCTTCGGCACTTATGTGACCTATTTGTGTTGCAAGTGCTGTAAAACTCTTACCAAAACGTAAACCAACTCCTTCTTTTCTTTGTATATTAGTCTTTAGTTATACATATAGTCTTTGGAACTTATACGACCTATTTGTTTTGCAAGTGCCGTAAAACTCTAACTAAAGCTTAACAAAAACTGTGTCCCTCTGCAGGCATCGTCAAGTTCCACAGCACGCGCCTATCGGACCTGGAGTCAGACAGTGAGTCCGGAGACACCCAGTCACTGGTCAGTGTGTCCGGCCTGTCACTGCTTGACCAGTGTGTGGGTCAGGTCCGGGAGTCGATGGGCATAGAGAGTCACATCAGCACCACGGCCACTGGGCACAGGTCAGTTTTAGCTTTGTTGCTGTTGTTGGTATTTGTTGTTGTTGTTGTTGTTGTTGTTGTTGTGTGTGTGTGTGGTAGCCTATCCGTTCGAAATGTTCTTCTTCTCCTCCTCCTCCTCCTCCTCCTCCTCCTCCTCCTCCTCCTCCTCCTTGTCATAACAATCAAATCAGCATCATTCATCATCATCATCATTACTTTATGCATTTTTGTACGTCAATTAATGTAGAGTCCAACCTAGCAAACGTGTCCAACTTGAGCCATAATAACCCTCTCTCTTTCACTCTAGGCACACTCCTTAACAATACAATATCGTCATCACCGACATGCTTTTCGTGTCGTCAGTCCACATCATTTTCTGATAGCCTCTCCTGAGGGTAGTTGGTGGGTGCTCTAGTGTGGTTTGCTCCGTCTGTCCTATTAAACATCTTTCGTCTTAGCTCTCCTCCTTCTTGTTTGTGTTTGTTATTCCCATGTAACACCTCTACTCTTCAGCACTTATATGACCTAATTGTTTTGCAAGCTCCGTAAAACTCTTATTAAAACAAAACACAGCCTCGCCACTCTTCCTCTACACCAGTACTTGACTGCCTTGTCGATATCGCCCACTAATGGAAAATTTGGTACTTTTGTAGGGCGATGGGATCTCCCGAAGGTAATGCCTCCCCTGGAAATTAATACATGTAGACAGGCAGTAAGAAAATGTTAGACTCTTAAAAGTGGCTTTAGTTTCAGTAATGATTTTGCAGCTCTTGCAAGACATTAAGGTCATATCAGTGCCGAAGATTAGGGACGTTATAAGAGGGTAACATACACAAAAAGGAAGGGAAATAAGGACAATAGATATTGATTTGATTAGGAAGAAAGAGCAAACCACACAGGAGCACCAGTCAACCACCTACGTTAAGGTGTCAAAAGTGGGCGCTGGCTATAATAAGATTGACGAGCACTGATCGATTCTACGCCGCTTGATTTCGTCCTTAAAAATGTGTTTCACCAAGATTTCGAGCCATGTGTCCTCATATTGTGTCTGTGTTCCCAGGTCGAGCACCTTGCTCTGTGGTCATGAGTACAGCGACACGGACAGCGAGGCTGACGACGTCTTTCAGCTACAGGTTAGTGGAGATTTAGATTATGTTGCTCTTTTTCTTTAACATCATTGTTATAACTCTAAGAAGTCGTCACACCTTCTGACCCGATACTGAATATTTTTGTTTCTTATTTTCTTCTTTTGTCATCAATATCTGATTGTCTGTAGTACAACTTCATCTTCACGTTGCTTGAAACCCACAGTCTTTTCTTAAAATTTTAATGAATAAACCTTGCTTGTAACTCGAGACATATCTTCTTTTTTCTTAAAATGTTAATGTATTCATAATATTTCAAACTAAACTTACTGTGATAAAGCTGCAAATAGACTCAGGAGCGATTTTTAAATAAAGAATTAAGCTCAAAAGCCATGCCCAATATGACTTTCCATTGAACAAGCCCCTCAAGTCAACCGTAATCCAACAAATAACTAACAATTCTTAGAGAAAATATCCCACTTCGAGTATTCATCTTACCTTGTCGAATCTTTTCTTATCTCATCTCATCTTATATCATCTCATCTCATCACGGTGCCACATTTCCTTCTCAGCTGGAAGAGCTCGGTGACCGCCTGAACGCCGACACTGACCGCACCGGCTTCCTGGCCATGCTCAACCGCAGCCACAACCTGGGTGCCAGCAGCTACAGCCTCGGCAGCGTCCTCAGCGCCGTCAGCAGCAACAGCGCCGGCAACATCAACAGCAGCAGCAGCAACAACAACAACAACAACAATAACAACAGCAGTTCTGGAAATGGCAGCACCACCAACAATGTCAGCAGTAGTCATAATACAATGGGTAATGTGAGCAGTGGTAGTAATTTGACAGTGGGTGGGGCGAAAGGCGGGACTTTCAGCGGGGGTGGGAGTATGGGCAGTATGAGGAGTCTGGGCGTGGCTAGTAACGCCAGTGGGAGTGTCCGCAGTCTCAATAGGCGGTTCAGCTTAAGGTCAAAGTTCGGCAATGGCAAGTCGCCTCTGGCTCTTCTGTACCAGTTCCTGATCGAGCCCATGGAAGCTGCGATAGCGGACTTAAAGGAAGCGGAGTCTATCACCAGCGCTGGGAGTGGGGGCGGGATGGGCGGGGCTAGCGATACCATCGATCTTGTGTTGGTTCTTCAAGGTGACCTGTACCTCATCCCTTTCCTCATGTTGAGGAGGGAGCAGGCGGAGAGTTTCCTCTTCGAGAAGTACACCACTATCATTGTACCGTCCATCAGCGCACTCCAGAACTCTCAAAATACTGACACTAGGGGTCGTTCCATCATCCAATCATCGGGCGCGCTAGTGGTAGGCAATCCCCGCCTCACGCCAATCATCTGTCAACACTGGCACCTTCAGGAGATACCAGGGGCGGAGTTTGAGGCGCGGATCTTAGGTGAACTCCTCACGTGCCGGCCTCTGATTGGCCCAGAAGCCACAAAAGGGGCGGTGCTTCATCAAATCGAGCAAGTGGAAGTAATCCACTTCGCCACACACATTTCATGGAAGTTATCCTCAATCGTTCTCTCCCCTGGCGAGTTTCTCTCCAGCCCGAGCCAGCACTTCCCAATCGTCGACTCAGAAGACAGCTCCAGCGATCTGGGCATGATGGGAGGACCATCCCTCTCGGAGTACCTCCTCACAGCCGCAGACATTCTCAACCTCAAACTCCGTGCCAAGCTGGTCGTCCTCAACTCCGGCTACACAGACGACAGAGCTGGAAGGGTTAACACGGACGGTGTTGTAGGGTTAACTCGAGCACTTCTCTCAGCCGGGGCGCAGTGCGTTCTTTTCTCACTGTGGCCCGTGCCCGACCCGGCCTCCAAGTTGTTGATGAAGACGCTGTATACGTCACTACTAGACGGGGTCAAGGTCACTCGAGCGTTGTCCAAGGCAGTCAAAACGGTGCAGACGACCGCCCAGTTCTCCCATCCGTCCAACTGGGGAGGGTGGGTGCTGGTAGGCGCGGATGTGACCCTGAGTTCAAAGGTCGCGTTGATGGGCCATGCTCTAGGTCAGATTGTGGAGGCTCACGGGACGTGCAGGCAGACGCTGAAGGTGTTGCTGCATCTGGTGAGTGTGTGTGTGTGTGTGTGTGTGTGTGTGTTTAGGGGGGGGGGGATGTGTGTGCATGGGAGGAGGGAGAGGTTGTTTGAGGGTGTATGAGTGTGTGTGTGTGTGTCTTTGTGTGTGGGTGTCGGGGGAGGGGGGTATATTGGTCTAGGTGGTGCGTGAGAGAAACAGAATGAAATAGAGGGACATAGAAACAGAGAGAGACAAAAATAAATAGATCGATAGAGAGAGAGAGAGAGAGAGAGAGAGAGAGAGAGAGAGAGAGAAAGAGAGAGAGAGAGATGTTAAGGATGACTGGAAGAGCATGACCGGAAACATGATTTAAACATCACCCAAAGTCCTCTTATTATATTATTTGTCTGTGCCTATATACCAAAATATTACTAAGCCTGTGTATATTCATTTACTTATAACAATCTTACACTTTTCTTAAACAATTCATGGGGTCTACTGTCCCCATCCACCTCCTTTCCCTTTCCCTCCCTTTAAAGTCTCTGGGAATGGTTGGCGGATGCTCTGGTGTAGTTTTCTTCTTTTCTATCCAACAACTATCGTCCTTATCTATACTCTGCTCCTTCTTTTTTAAAATTTTGTGTTTATTACTCTTTTGTAACCCCTAATAGTCAGCACTTATCTGACCTTTTTTTGTTGCAAGTGCCATAAAACACTCTTTAAAACAAGTGAAACCAATCTACCACCAGGTCGAAAAATCTCTTCAGCGCATCCAGCAGGGATGTCGAAACTCCATGTTCACCACACAGCAAAGTATCGAGAACAAAGTGGGGCAGGTGGCTGGCTGGAAGGACCTTCTGCAGGCTGTAGGGTTCAGGTTCGAACCCTCCACCGGTGGTCTGCCGCCTGCTGTCTTCTTCCCTCAGTCAGACCCTAACGAGAGACTAACACAGGCCAGCGCTAGTCTACAGGCTTTTCTGGGTAAGATATAATAATAATAATAAAACACAGCTAAGAAAGTATTGGATTGGGATACACTCGGGAAGAGATCAAAGGGAAGACCCCATGGAACGTGGAGAAGAGTCACATAGAATAAGGTACAGAAAAGTTGGAGGACTTGGATTAATATCAAGAGGCTCGTCCTTGATAGGGAAATGTGGAACGTGGTCGTGGCCTATAGCCTAATCCTGGGTGAGAAAGGCATTGAAAACGATGATGATGGATGATGTCACTTTTTCAGTAGCAGGTTATTATTCATTAATTTCTTGAAATGCATTGTGAGTATGACAAGACTCAAATTATACCTTTCTTTCTGTCCATAGGTCTCCCGACCAGCTCCGTTAGCGCTATGTCCAAGTTTGTGGTCAATTTTGACGTAGGAGAGGCGCTCATACAAGTGGTGAGTGGGATTATCTCACGAAGATTTCATGGTTACTGGTGTTGCTGTTGTTGTTGTAGCTATTGTTGTTGTTGTTGTCGTTGTTGCTGTTGTTGTTGTTTGTTGTTGGTGGTGGTGGTGTTGAGCATGGTATCGATGCGCAAGCTATCAGCACGTGAGTCTTGCATTGTCGTGTAGGTTTTGTGTGTGTTTGTGTGTGTGTGTGTGTGTGTGTATGTGTGTGTGTGTGTGTGTGTGTGTGTGTGTGTATATGCGTGTGACTCTCTCCTACACTTTAACTCACACTCAACATTCCCTCACAGCTCCGAGAGATCCTGAGCAAGCTATCAGCCCGTGAGTCCGGCATTGATGTCTGCGTCGACGTGCGCCTGTGGGGCGTGTCTGGTTGTCACGAGTTTCTCGCCTCTCTAGGTGAGTATGCCTCTTTATTTCATAACCTACATAGTATGTGACAATCGCCAATTGAAAGTTACGTTGAGAAAAATTAATGACTACTTCCTGTATTGAAAGAATATTATGTCCCGTTATTAACAGTTACCTTCTTCTGTTACAATCGGCACATTATGTCCCATCTATACAATGTGATATTATCCTGTTAAAATCAATTACTGCATTATCTTGTTTTTATAAAAGCACTGACTCTTGTATAATTATTTTTTTAAATGTTGACTATTTACACTCGGCAATGTGGCATCTCATGTTTAAAACGTTGACTTTCTCCTCTTAGCAAAATAATGCTGTTCTCATGTTTAAAAAATGACTATCATCTCCTCCACCCCCTCACTCCCCCCTCTATCCATCCTCTCTTTTTATCTCTTTTTCTTCCTTTTAACGCCCCATTTCCACAGGTTTGTTTGAATTGTGGGGCGTGTCTGACTCACGAGTTCCTCGCCTGACACAATTGTTGCCTAAATAGAAGGATTGTAATTTTTAAAATATCAATATCCCCTTCTCTCTCTCTCTCTCTCTCTCTCTCTCTCTCTCTCTCTCTCTCTCTCTCTCTCTCTCTCTCTCTCTCTCTCTCTCTCTCTCTCTCAATGATTTTTCTATCTCCCCCTCATTCTTCTCACCCTTTCCCATGTTCACATCTCTTTAGGTCTGGACCTGGTTGACGTAGGCTCAGACAAGGTGACGCTGCGACTCAGCAAACAGGCCGTGAGACGCCACCTACAGTTTGCCCTGCAGGCTTTGGTCTCTGTGTTTGGTGAGTGACCTAGCTAGACGGGTCGCTACCTCAGATTTCCAATGTTCTATCTTTTATTTTTTGGCCGTTTTGAGTTACTAAGACCACGAAGTCGGAGACCAAATTTTCTGTGCTCTATCAAAATCGTAAGATTAATCAGAGCCGTTATCAAGATATTCAAGGAATTGACTTCGCAAAAGCTTAACATGTTGTGAAACTCAAAATCTTTTACGTCAAAGTTCTCCAAACTAGGTACTGTGGAGATGTAACTTTGTAATTCTGTTGTAGCGAGGTGGTAGGTTGTTGGAGGGTGACACTTGGGGCTTCTAGGCCGTGAGGCGCCTCCTGCAGTTTGTCCTGCAGTTTCTGGTTTCTGTCTTTGGTGAGTGACCTAGTTAGATAATGGGTCTATCGAAGGTGAAACCTGGGACTTCTAACGCACATTTCGTATTTTTCTGTGAGATTTCTGTCTGTTATCATGCCCATGTACCTCTTTTCAGATATGGATTTTGTGTGTGTACGAGTCGGTGTAATTGAGTGAGTGAGTGAGAGAGAGAGAGAGAGAGAGAGAGAGTGTGTGTGTGTGTGTGTGTGTGTGTGTTGTGTGTGTGTGTGTGTGTGTGTGTGTGTGTGTGTGTGTGTGTGTATGTGTGTGTGTGTGTGTGTGTGTGTATCCATGTACACATGAATAATTATTTTGTTTTCTCTTTGTCTTGCTATGTCCTTCATTCTTTAGCTTATTCATTCATTCATTTACACATTCGTTCATCTTTCTCCATCCACCCACAGACACACAAGAAGCACCCCGGAGCCTTCACCTCGACACCTCCAGCTCCATGGAGAGCCTCTCTTCCACCCAGTCGGGAGGACCTTCCTCTTCTTCTTTCTCCAAGTCTTCTGTCACTCCGCCCACCTCACCGCACTCCCGCGGCAAACGATCACTTTTCAACCCAGCTGAGATGGAAAAGGTCAAGAACGCCCACCGGAACGCGTTGATGATGCAGGTCAGATTGGACGTTTTGTATTTGTGTACCTTTTTTTATTTTCCAAGAAAGGTGTTTTGGAAGGGTTTCTAATGCGTTTCTGCTGCTGCTGCTGCTGCTGCTGCTGCTGCTGCTGCTGCTGATGATGATGATGGTGATGATGATGATGGTGATGATGCCGAAGAAGAAGAAGAAGAAGAAGAAGAAGAAGAAGAAGAAGAAGAAGAAGAAGAAGAAGAAGAAGAAGAAGAAGAAGAAGAAGAAGAATACATAAAATGGTTTCACCAACGGATACTTATTGTGAACTAAAGGTTTAGATTCAGACTCAGCAGAGTAGAAAGGAAAGGAGATCTCATTATGAATGTAACAGTTGTTACCAACAAAAAAAAAAAGCCCATCGCAACTTCACATTATAATATCACTACGGACGTAATTTTTTGCTTTAAATTCCTCCACCCCATCCTTACCCTGAAAAGGGGATATTTTGAGTCAAGTATCTGTTACATTTGGTATTTAAAAAAATTCTATTTTACTTCAACTTCTTCTGTTGGTCTGAAATGGATGTTTGGACTCAAGAGTCTGTCTTTTGATGTCCACAGAGTCTTTTGAATAAAGGGCTCTCGTATTCGACAGTTCAACTCCAACTTAACTTTCTTATTCATGACGTGCATGACTACTTTGTGTTAGTTTAGTTTTTATATATATATATATATATATATATATATAAAACAGCATCCCCGCAAATAACCAGATACTCGAAAAAAAATATTCCCGCTCTTGAGTGGAACTCGCATCTTCTGTGTGTGACAGTAAAGTGCCTACCCTCCTCACCATGCATGCCAGTAACATCTGTATGTTGTCTATGTTTCTGTGGTTATTTCTAAAAACTAATATGTTTTTTCTCTCCCTCCCCCCCTCCCCTTAAAAAACCGTCTCCCTATTTTAAAACTTCTGGCCGTCTTCTGTGACAACGTCTATCCATCTCATGAATGCCTCAACGCTCCACACACACACAATTTGTCTCCACCTCGTGTCTCCTGCACTGCACGGGTCAACAGGGCAGTCTCTCTGGTCGCCAACTGGACGGCTCCCTGTCACGGTCAAGCACGTCTGACCAGTCCACCCCCTCTGCCTCCCCCCGCTCCCCACAGTCCCCACAACTGGACCCCGCACTCCAGCTGTCCCACCAGAACCGGATACGCAGCCTCTACCCTTACGACACCACCACAGCCCGCAGTGCCTCCCTCTGCTCGCCGTGCCAAATGGATAGCAACAGCGACAGCAATCGAGATTCCCCGAACTTTTCCGGGAATTACCCTTCCAACGGGGATTCCCCTCGTGTGGTGGCGTCGGATGGTGTCGGTGGAGACGTAGACAGGAGTGTGGGAGATCGGCTCGAGAGTGTGTCTTCCACAGACAGTCGCGGCTCTGCCGTGAGGTACGGCGGTTCTCTGGCCAGCTCTGTGTCTGAGGCAGACGCCGACTTTGTAGATTCTCCCCGCGAAGATGCGACAGCCGGAAATAGTTTCAGGGAGACATCAAGGCAGTTGTCGGGATCTCTTAGGAATAGCCAGAAAAGCAGAAATGGATCGTCTTCTCAGAGCGAAAGTGCACCAAAATCTGTGACATTTGCTGAGAATTTGATTAGCGAAGAGATCTCTTTCGATCCGTCTAGTCCGCGTTTGGATTATTCTGGGAGTGAGGACGGTGGAGGCAGCGCGAGTAGTGATTTACCCCCCTTGCCGCCTCGGCAGCAGAGGTATCATGACAATGTGGAGGAGACTTCGGTGGAGGAACTTGTAAAAGAACACGGGGAGGAGGAAGCGGAGGAGGAGGAACATGAGGAAAAAGACACCGGAGTGAAAACGGCCGGCCAGCTCAGGGAGCATTTTGAACGAATGAGCAAACAAAATGTTCAAACGTCGTCCCCATTAATGAAAAATAAATCGTCTCCATCTTCTAGCGGTCCGAGCCTTTCTTCCAGGAAGCCTGCAAGAGATTCAGGCGCTGATGACGTCACT